AAAAAAAAAAAAAAAAAGAGAGGAAAAGAAAGTCAACTTCCAGAAACCAAAATCCTCTTAAATTAAATAACGAACTACCATTCCAATCAAGCAGAGGCCGACGTGAATTCCCAAATAACATTCCCACCACCACCGCCACGGCGGAGACACCACGCGTCCGCCGTTCTCCGCCACACACACAGAGAAACGCGCGCATTTCACAATTTCCCTCCTAATGGCCGAGGAGATGGTTTACCTCCACGGCGACCTTGACCTGAAGATCATCGATGCCCGCAGCCTGCCCAACATGGACATCCTCACGGAGCGCCTCCGTCGCCTGTTCGCCACCTGCCACCAGCCCTGCGCCCCGACAAAGCGCCGCAAGCACCACAACAACATCATCACCAGCGACCCCTACGTCACCGTCTGCCTCTCCGGCGCCCGTGTCGCCCGCACCCGCGTCATATCCAATTCCCAGAACCCCGTTTGGAACGAGCATTTCAAAATCCCCTTAGCTCACCCTGTTACACAGGTATCCTATATCACCCTTCCTTCCTAAATACCTAAAAATTCATAATAATAATAATAATAGTAATAATATAATTAGGTGGAGTTGGAGGTGAAGGATAATGACATGTTTGGAGCCGACCTAATCGGCGTGGCGGCAATGCCAGCGAAGAAGATCGCATCCGGTGAGCTGATCGACGAGTGGGTGACGGTGGTGGGCCCGTGCGGGAAGCCTCACAAGCCCGACACGGCCATCCACCTCCAGATGACCTTCACCCCGTGCGGAGCCAATCCCAAGTACCGCAAGGGGTTCTCGGAGGATTACTCCCTGAGAGAGAGCTATTTCCCGCTGCGGCGCGGATGCAGGGTTACTCTGTACCAAGACGCGCACGTGCCGGATGGGATGCTGCCGGAGATCGAGCTGGACGGTAAAGGGAAGAGGTTCGAGCACGACAAGTGCTGGGAGGAGATATGCCATGCGATCTTGGAAGCTCACCACCTTGTGTACGTCACGGGTTGGTCTATATACCATAAAGTGAGGCTTGTGAGGGAGCCGACGAGGCCCTTGCCGAGAGGGGAGAATATGAACTTAGGGGAGCTGTTGAAGTACAAATCCGAGGAAGGGGTGAGGGTGTTGCTGCTCGTGTGGGACGATAAGACCTCCCACAATAAGTTCTTCATTAACACGGAAGGAGTCATGGCGACTCATGATGAGGAAACGAAGAAATTTTTCAAGAACTCGTCCGTTACGTGCGTGTTGTCCCCGCGTTACGCAAGCACCAAACTCAGCATTTTCAAGCAACAGGCATTGAAATTAGATTTTACAATAAGCAAAAATGGATATACATATATATATATTGTAGGAAATTTTGACAAAAAGTATTCATCGATAATTTCAGGTAGTGGGAACCCTGTATACCCACCACCAGAAGTGTGTGATTGTAGACACACAAGGACAGGGAAACAACCGTAAAATCACGTCATTCATCGGTGGCCTCGACCTTTGCGACGGGCGCTACGACACGCCAGGCCACCGGTTGTTCCAAGACCTCCCCACCGTCTTCAAGGACGACTATCACAACCCCACCTTCTCTGTAAGGAATCTTAATTTCCAACCGAGAAGAAAAAAAAACTGCTCTCATTCGAGTGAAATATTAATTAATGGGGAATTAATTTAACCAAAATGTAGCTAGGAACAAACGGGCCAAGGCAGCCATGGCACGACCTGCACTGCAAGATAGAAGGGCCAGCCGCGTACGATGTGCTCACCAACTTCGAGCAGAGGTGGCGTAAGGCCAGCAAGTGGTCCAAGTTTGGGAAGCGGTTCAAGAAGATCTCGCATTGGAAGGACGATGATTTGCTAAAGGTCGACCGTATCTCCTGGATAACCACCCCTTCAAACAACCTACCCAACGACCATCCCTCGTTGTGGGATTCCCAGAAGGATGATCCCGAGGGCTGGCATGTGCAGGTTAGAATTTGCTTGCACTCTCATGTTTTTTTTAAATGATAATAAATTTTTACTTTTTGTTCTCCGTTTTATTTGAACAGGTGTTTCGCTCGATAGGTTCGGGATCGGTGTAAGGGTTTCCCAAAACCGCATATGCAGCGGAGAAGCAAGTAATTAATGCTCAAACACATTCTATGTTATTTAACTAATTTTCCCTGTCTATGATTTTGCTTAAATGTGTTTGAGGCGTCTGTTTTCTGCAGAACCTAATGTGTGCGAAGAATTTGGTCATTGATAGGAGCATTCAGAGGCATACATTGAAGCAATTCGATCCGCGCAGCACTTCATATACATCGAGAATCAGTATTTCCTCGGCTCGTTTTATGCTTGGCCCTCCTATAAAAATGCAGGTAGGTTGTTTATCTATCACAGTTTGATCACATTGTATCCCTTGATGTACCTATGTTTTTGCTTTTCTGTTTGTTCTAGCATGCATTACGATTAAATTTTTTTCTTAGTTCTTGAAACTTGCGTTTTCATAAGGATTCATGTCTCGTCACATTTACTACTAAGTTGTTGTGGTTAGCCTGAAAATTGTTTAGCTTTTTATATTTTTCTCGTAGTTATTTACTCACGCTGCTCTTAATTGTTTTACGATAGGTGCAGATAATTTGATCCCAATGGAACTAGCACTAAAAATAGCCAGTAAAATAAGAGCGAACGAAAGATTCACCGTTTATGTTGTTATCCCAATGTGGCCAGAGGGTGCTCCTAACTCTGCCTCTGTACAAGAAATCCTTTACTGGCAGGTAAGATTGCAAATAAGAGAAAATTATTACTTGTGATGTTTGTTTGGGATTTTTATTTATTATTCCCCTCGGACAACGATTAGGTTGTGGACATGAAAAACTAGTAATGATGTGAATGACTTAAGTCGACATATATCATATGTTGCGCTCTGTATATGTCTTGTACATTCCGATGTAATCGACAACTTAGCATGATTTTTTTTCATGCTTCGACACATAGAATATCGTCTTTACTCTTGGATGATTTAACTCTTGTAGGGCCAGACCATGCAAATGATGTATGAAATTATTGCTCGAGATATTAAGTCTGCTCGGCTGATGAATGCGCATCCGACTGACTATCTAAACTTTTACTGCCTTGGCAACCGAGAAGAGAATGTAGGAGAGTTGAAGGGAAATTCCCAATCCCCTTCGAATGGAAATACTGTAATTATTTCTCACTTCCATATCTTTTGTCACAGTAGGGGATTCTTATATATTGCATATCAAATTTTCTTGCATCTTCTTATAATAAAAACACCAATGGAACTATATTAAAACAGGATTCAGCTTCACAAAAAGCCGGACGGTTTATGATTTATGTGCACGCAAAGGAAATGATTGTGGACGATGAGTATGTGATATTAGGTTCTGCCAACATTAACCAACGGTCAATGGCCGGGTCGAGAGACACAGAGATTGTAATGGGTGGTTATCAGCCCCATCACACTTGGGCCAAGAAGAAAGACCACCCGCATGGCTAGGCTATCTTTGTTCTGTTTATCTTCTTTTCTTTTCTTTTATTATTATAAATAAATAAGTAATCGAAATATTATGATTCCATTGCGCAGGTATATGGATACAGGATGTCGCTTTGGGCCGAGCACTTGGGGACAGTCGAGAGCTGCTTCAAAGACCCAAAGAGTTTAGATTGTGTGAAGTACGTGAACCGTCTCGCGCAGCAAAATTGGAACCGGTACACGGCCCCACGGTTCATCCCATTGCAAGGCCACATCCTCAAACTAATAAATAAATCTACAAAATTATACCTATGTGGCATTTTTTCTCCAATAACTGTTAAAACTTATTATTATTATTATTATTATTATTATTATTATTATTATTATTATTATTATTATTATTATTATTATTATACACTATCTCATCAATGAAAAATATATCCTAGCACTTAGTTTATGTTAATTAAGATAAAACATATTACATTTTCTATTAACTGAGAAATAATTTTACTGTATCATATGATAGTTATTATTAGAATTAATATTGTATTTTCATGATATATGAAAGTTACATAAGCATATAAAAATATATTGTAATTTAATGGATTGATAGCAATTATATATATAGATTTGCATACAATTAGCATATCTTTAAATTCATCGAAGATATATTAGATTTACAATTAGTAATAAATTACTAAATAATTGACATTGTATCTTTACTCGTTAATAATTTTGATAGATATAAACTATAGAGAAAAAAACATTTGTCTATATTTATATCTACACTTACAAAAATAAATATAAAATAAACAATATGATCAATTTGTTGTCTATTTTCTGTTAGCAAATAAAGAGATATTAAATAAAGAATGGTATAATTCATTATGTCATAGTGGGTTGAACATGATTTGGTGGTCATCTCATGTTAATTGGGTGGTACTTCTTCAAATTTAATGGTCACATTTAACTTTCAATATCCAAGGATAGGAAATAAAATGAGAGGATGAATCGGACTATAGCACTCCTCATTAAAGTAAACACACGTTGTTAAAGTGCACCCTAACAGTAGCCACTCTCAATATATAGTTCTGCCTCACTTTATTTCTCCCACAAATCAATCAAATCATTGTCTCTCACTTTTTCTCCTCTGTCTCTTCATCTTCTCCGTCTTCTTCCTATAGACATTTTCACCCGTCTTCTAACTGTTCAATGGCAAGCTTTGCTCCCAATGAACTGGGCATGGCCCCAGTGGCTCGGGTTGGCCATTCTTTCTCTTATGTATTCTGATGATGCTCTTTGTGGTCCAAGAATGCCATGGTGAAAGCTTGGTTCAACATCGAACCTCCGTCGAACAACGTATTCTATGCCTTGCTCGAGCAGCCGGTGGCCCAACTGTTGACAGGGCTCTGGGGGATCGTTCTAGGTTACCTAACCTGGAAATGGCATCTGAGCAGAAATGAGATATCTCGCAAATGGCGGGAGGCTTTGGAGACGATGTTTAGCGTTGGGGGCATGTGGGTCAGCTTTGCTGCAACGGATGCCTGGTCGCTCTCCATACTATTTTCTGTCATGATACACGCCATCAGTGTCTCAAATCTCGTCATTGTGTATGAGAATGTCGGCCTATATAACTGGTTGGCGTCGGTTTTCATGGCTAGGATTTATGTGGTATGTGTCTAGACATTGAACAAAAGATTGTCATTAACAATAACAATAATCTGTTGTGTGCCAATGGTGGCATTGAAGCATTGCAGTGAGGCGAATTTGGATAGGCTGAAAGTGAAGGAGAAGGAGGGAGAATCAAAGAGGGTGTGTAAGGCTACAAATGACGAAGTAGCACGAGCTGCAAATATGGCAATGAAAAAGATAGACCTTATCGTTAGATGGGCGAACGATGCAGCGGATCAGGCGGAGGTCGTCGAGGTAGCGGGTAATGGCCCTCGAGTCTGGTAGTGACAACACAGGATGCGGCAACAGCCGTTGCGAATGCGGCGCGGGAAGTCGAGTATTCAGTGAAGGCAGTGGGGGCACCAAAGGATTTAGCGGGGGAACCAAAGGGGAAGGAGCCGGCATAGGTGGCAGCACTAAAAGATTCAGATATTTCCCATTAATTGGGTGGTACTTCGTCAAATCTAATGGTCACAATTAAGTTTCAATATCCAAGGGTAGAATATAAAATGAGGGGATGATACGAACTGTAGCACTCCCCATTAATGTAACCACACGTTGCTAAAGTGCAGTCTAACGGTAGCCACTCTCAATATATAGTTCTGCCTCACTTTTTCTCTCCCACAAATCAATCAAATCACTGTCTCTTACTTTTTCTCCTCTGTCTTTTCATCTTCTCTATTTTCTCCGTATGGACATTTTCACCCGTTTTCTGGTTGTACAATGGCAAGCTTTGCTCCAATGCACTGGGCATGGCTCTAGAGGCTCGTGTTGGCCATTATTTTCCCATATATTCTAATGCTGCTCTCTGTGGGCCCAAGAATGCCATGGCGAAAGCTTGGTTCAACATCGAACCACCGTCGAACAACGTATTTTATGCCATGCTCGAGCAGCCGGTGGCGCAACTATTGACAGGGCTCTAGGGTTTGTTCTAGGGTACCTAACCTGAAAATGGCATCCCAGCAGAAAGGAGATATCTTGCAAAAGGCGGGTGGCTTTGGAGACGATGTTTATTGTTACGAGCATGTGGGTCAGCTTTGGTGCAACGGGCACCTGGTCGCTCTCCATACTATTTTCTGTCATGATACACGCCATCAGTCTCTAAAATGTCGTCATTGTGTATGAAAATGTCGGCCTATATGATTGCTTGGCGTCGGTTTTTATGGTTGGGATTTATGTTGTATATGTCCAAACATTGAACACACGATTGTCATTAATAATATCAACAATCTGTTTTGTACCAATGGTGGCAGTGAAGCGTTGCAGTGAGGTGATTTGGATAAGCTGAAAGTGAAGGAGAATGAGGAAGAATCAAAGAGGGTGTGTGGGGCTACAAATGACGCAGAAACACAAGCTGCAAATATGGCACTGAAAAAGTTAGACCTTGCCGTTAGATGGGCAGACGATGCAGTGGATCAGGCGGAGGTCGTCGAGGAAGCAGGTAAATGCCCTTCAAGTAGAGAGGATTTTTCCAACTTAAAAGCATAAAACACAAGCAGGTAAATATGGCACCGGTAACTGTTTGTTGTGTTTTTGTCCTTATTTTCTTGTATTTTATGTGTTTTATTTTTTAGTTCTTAGGTCCGTTTTTAGGCTCGACCGGTCCATTTTTTCGTGTTTTGTATATTCTTTCTCTTGTATACCTTGTTCGTATTTTTGCGCGTTTTCTCTTTGTTTTTGGGTGATTAGGTCCATTTCATCGCGCACAACGAGACGAGCTGTCTGAGCCGCCTAATCTGGAAATTCCGACCAAACCATACCCGGAGGAAGAGCATTCAAAGACAAGAATTTTGGTCTAAGTTTCGGGCGAATCAGAGTTCGGTACGAGAAGATAGAGCGAAATGAAGAATCAAGCACGAACCGAGACCCGCGAGCTAGCGGACGCACACCAGCCGCACGTCTGCCTTCCAAGCACTCGCGACCACGCAATGAGAT